ACAGCTGTCATTAAATGCCTGGCTTCCATGGTCCAGGCTTCAAGGATCTTGCAGGATTCATGGGGGCACATCTCACCCACAGGGGCCTTTGGCCATGTCTTTGTCCCATAGGGTGGTGGACAGTCACCTTCCCAGTGTTCAGCCTGCCCGTGCCCATTTCTGAAGAGCTCTTGTTGTTTGGGTGGGATTGGCCCACTCCCCAGAGGGAAGTACATTCCTCTCACACACTTACGGATTCACTTGGCCCCTTCCAACAGAAGTGGAGGCTGTTGTCAGTGAGTTGGGGGGTATATGGAATGGAAGCAGAGCCTGTTTCTGTAGGCAGCCTTTTGTTTGTTTGTTTTAATTTAATTACTTTTTTAAGAGAGAGAGCGTGCACGGGAGAGCATGGGCAAAGGGTGGGGCAGAGGGAGAGAGAGAGAAGCTGAGTAGGGAGCCCCATACAGGGCTCAATCCCAAGACCCAGGGATCATGACCTGAGTGGGAGGCAGATGCTTAACTGACTGATCCACACAGGTGCCCCATAGGCAGCCTTTTGAGGAAGCAGTCTGAGAAAAGGATCCCAGAAAAATGGAGTTGGATCCTTGATCAAATTGTACCTGAAGCCTGACCTACCTCTGATCTTTTTGGTTACATGAGCCTCCTTTTTGTTTAAGCCAATTTTAGTTGGCCTTTCTGATACTTGTACCCCAAAGCATCCTAGCGGCTTTTAATGTAATAACTATAAAATATAATAAATATTTAATATGAACATAATAAAGATTTTTTTTAAAGGTTTTATTTATTTATTTGACAGAGAGAGAGATCACAAGTAGGCAGAGAGTCAGGCAGAGAGAGAGAGAGAAGCAGGCTCCCCGCTGAGCAAAGAGCCCGATGCGGGGCTCGATCCCAGGACCCTGAGATCATGACCTGAGCCAAAGGCAGCAGCTTAATCCACTGAGCCACCCAGGCGCCCCTCATAATAAAGATTTTAAAAGTCATCTATTGTGGACCTGTCATAGGCTAGTTTTATTCCACTAAAAGGAAATTTATCTTCTTCTACGCTTGGGGGAGAGATTGTAGAGAAAATGAATTTCAAGACCTTGCTATCCACTTTGTGGATTTTCCCCTCGGTTTTCCAACTGCAAGCCTTTCAAAGCCTTAAGGGCTACAACCAGTGGTCCTGGGGTGTGGGGAGCAGGTTCGGCCCCCCCTGGAGTGCCCCCTGACCATACTGTTTCCAGAGCCCCCTCTGTGCCTTTCTTGCTCCAAAAGCAAAGAGGAGAGGAACTGGGATCATGAGTGGCTGGGACATTGTGACCGGTGCTCTCTGGACTTCATCCGACTGTGTCCACGGGTCAGTGTTGTTCCCTCTGATGGGGGACAAGTGAAACAAGGAAAGAGTATGAGGCTCCTGTAGGTGAGAGATCTTCCCAGAGTTGCGGCGGGAGTTGGGAGAGGAGGCATTGGGACTCAGGTCAGTGGACACATGTCCACCAGCTGCCTCTCATGGCCAGGTCTCTCCAGATGGACCCTTCCCCTTCTGGAACGGGTCCTCTCACATGTGAGACAAGCGCAGGATCAGAATCCTAAAAAAAACCCTTCCCTGAAGAATGAAGATCTTTTTAGTTTATCTTTAAATAGTCATCCTTATTTTTCCAAGGTCTGGTATTTGTTCGTTCATTCATTCATTCATTCATTCATTCCTGAACTGAGAGTGCCTCCTATGTGCTGGGCACTTCCTGGGACCTTATTTAGTTTGATTTCTCTGACACATCTCCAGGGGGATCAGAAGAGCCATTTATAGTTTCGGGGAAGTCCAGTGTTTGGGGAATTTATTTTGGATAGCACTAAATTAGCACACGGGGCTTGCGCCAAGAGAACATTGAAAGTTGGGAACATTTCTGTGTTGCACCAACAAGTGGGCAGCACAGACTCAGCACCATCCCTCGTTAGAGCTCCCAGGAGCTCTGATCAGGTCACCTGATTTTGCAGGTGAGCAGCCCTGGGCTGAGGAGTTACAGGGACGTGGGATTAAGTAGAACACATGTGGCAATTGTCTTAAGGGCTCATATTGCAACTGAAGGAAACATCCTGGGCCGGTGCCTGTTGGAATCCTGCAGGAGCAGACACTCGGAAGACACGAGACCAGGTTCTGTTGGTTCAATTTTGAAATAAAAGTGCAAAGTATACAAAGTATATGATCCGATGTTTATCCGCAGGTAGTCTGTCTCAGCCCAGGAGTGCGAGGAGGCAGGCGCTACCTTCATGGAGTTCACCGTCTCCAGGGAGACAGACATGCAAATAGATACATTCCCGGGCACCGTGGAAAGTGCTAGAAATGAAGTATGAGCAGAGCGCTAATGGAGCCCACAGGTGAGAGTAACTGTCTTTGCCTCGACAGGGCTGGGAAAGTCGTGAAAATAAATAAGCCACTTAAGGCAGGCAAGCGGCAAGCCGCCTCTGCTATCACCCGCCAGTCCCTTTATTAACCGAGAGCCCCATCTTTTTTAAGCTTGTTGATCTGGGAAAAGGTCCCACCTGGAAGCCTGGAGTCTCTGGCTTTTCTCCGATTTGCGTTTGGGGACCTACAGAGACGCCGAGAAGTTGACATATGGAAGAGGCGCTAGCTCTCGGCTCCCCAGCCCAACCAGAGAGCCGTCTACTTCCCCTTGCCCCCACTGGGCTCCTGCCCTCACTGACCTCCCCGGGAATTTTCGGAGGTCACTGGGTGCCTGCCTCCCATCTTGGTTCCCTGAACTGCACCCAGCTCCAGGGGATCGCAAGTGGGGTTGCGAAGCTCTTGTTTCTCCCACTCAACTCCGAGGCCCCTGCTGTGGGGGTCGTAGCTTGGCCACGAGTACTTGGTCAATCGAAACCCCACATGGGGAGTGGGGGTTGGTGCTCAGGGCCGCACGCTCCCTTGGGCCACCCGGGGTCTCGCTCCATCCCATAGGGTCATGCACCAGAGCTGGGCACTGGAACATGGCTCTCTTGCCTCCCGGGGCTACCTGTCTGCTCCCAGCCTAGACGGTGGCTGCAACTCAGTGAGCTTCCGTTCTGATTCCGAGAGGCTTTCTTACCCTTTTCCCAGCTAGACAGCTCTTCCTCTGATTGCTACGCTGGCGTGTTAAGAAACTCTCGTGTGGATTGTAACTTTTTTCCAGTGAAGGCCACGGCCTTTTCAATTGCTGTAAATTCCATGGGCCAGTCTTTACAGAAAGGCTACACGTGGTGCCACGGTGCCTGTTCCGAGTGACCTGATCCAAAAGTGGGTGTGAATTGGGTGCTCTCACTTTCCTTGGAAGAATTGTAAAATAGCGTGTTCGTGATGTCCCCATGCTGGCTGGGGACAGACCCATGCAGGGCGTTTGCCCTGAGCACTCCCATAAAACGACCGCTGCTTAACTGGGGACCCCGGGGAAGGAAGGACAATGGCGTGACAAAGTTTGGCTGTGGAAGCCAGAGGGAACGGAGAAGAGGTGAGGTCCCTCTGAGGTCTGCTTCTGTTTGAAAGGCAGTGAAAACAAAGAGCCTCTGTGGTCCCCTTTTGCTGAGCGGCCCCAGGACACTGCCATTACCTTTCTGCAGCCTTCAGACCTGCCTGGACACAGTCATCACAGATCACTGTAAAGAGGAGCTGGGCGGTGGGTGTCGCAGCGGAGTTTCAGAAGGAACGGCTCATGTGAAGAAGTTGGAGCCGTGACGATAAAAGGAGACCATTTTCATAGTTCTCTCGTGTTCTTGTCTTTGTAATTCCCACCCAGGTAGCCTCTGGGTCGCTCAGAAATGCCTTCTAACACAGCATTTCACAAGAGGGGAATCTCTTCAAAAGCAGTGTGACCCCAGTGCCTTCCTCCTGGAAGTGTGTTCCCCGGAGCAGCAGCCTCGGCATCCCCTGGGAAACAGACGGTCAGGCCTCACCCTAGACCCGCACCCTCCAGACCTGCCTCGCAACTGGTGACGTGTGTGCAAGGTGAACTTGGACAAGCAACACTTCCTAGCAGGAAAAAAAAAACCAGCCTCAGTCTGAGAACTATATCCAAGGGCCCCAGGCTCTGTCCAGCCAGTGGCTGAGTGATCAAAGGCAAATCATTTCTCTGCACTTGACTCTTCCCATCTCTGAAATGGGGATCACTCCTCTATCCCTCTTTGCTTATCTAATAATAAAAGAGGGGAAGATAGTGACCTTGTTTATAACTGGTCAAGTCTGGAAGCACGTTTCAAGATGGCATGTAAAGTGCACGTACAAGTTGGAACAACAAATATTCCTCAGGAATGACAGTTTATTTACTGCCTAGAGAATGAGCGTATTTTCCAGCTGGGGGGGACACTGGTCCTGGCTCGGCTCTGTCTCCTTCCACATACCCTGCTGTATCTACATGTAAGAAATTCTCCAAAAGGTACTTTGAGGAAAGACCCTCAAGGAGACAATTCAATCTCCAAATGTAAATTCCAACAACATAGAGAGGGGCCACTGTTGCTTCCAGTCCCCTGGTGGGAACTGAGGCTTTCTATGAAATGAGATTGCCTTTGACATTGTTGCTGTTCCCGGGAAGTGTTTTGTTCAATGCTAAAGGAAGCTATTTCTATTGGGAAAGGATTTGTTCGGGTAAAGTTGAAAGTTTGCGCTTGTTATGCATGAGTTCAAGGAAGGCAGGGCTGATGTAGAGAGGCATGAATGTTCCACGTCCTGTGGTTTTGAAGGGCTTGTCTCTCAGCAAGAGATTCCTGCCACGCGTGAGCACACGTGGAACCCACCAGTGTCTTTCCCCGTCCCCCACCCCTTCCAGTTCTTTCCGCTGCTGGCACACGTGTCTGCCCATTACAGCCCTGAGTCTGCTGGGTTCAGATTTGATTTCAGGTGGAACGGCAAATTCAGATTCTAGATGTTTTGCTGGTACCAAAATTATGATGGTCAAACACCAGCTTTCTATAGGCAATACTATAAGCAGGTGAAATGACTCTAGGAAAAAAAAAAAAAACACTCAACACATAATAAAGATTTTCTTTATTTGATTTTCATGATTGGACATCCAAGAATGCATTGATAGGACAGAGACCTTCCTTGTAGCATTAAAATGAAATTGTGAGCATTCAGCCATTAATTCCACTGAGTACTTTTCCCCCCAGAAGCTGGTGTGATATTTAGATGACACGGAATCAAATGATTTGGAACCATGACTTTTGCTCGATTAAAGGGGGTCCTGAGTGAACACACTTTCGTGGTCTGAACCGTGATATTCTTCGTGGGTTGGTCGTCATCTCACCCACAAAAAGATTTGCAACAAAGGGCAGCTGTGATTCTGCAATACTTCTAACCAGCCACATACTGAGGGACGTTGGCAAAGCACGAAGGAGCTAAGCCCAAGACTGTCTGGGGCCCTGGGCGGGCGCCTGCCTGTGTTCTGGCTTCACTCCTGAGGCCAGTGAACTCTACGACCCTAGACGAGGCACCTATCCTTCCTGTGCTTTGGTTTCTTAATTTATACAATGGGTAGGAGTAGATGGTCACTTAAATCCCAAATTTTACCATTTAAAAGACAACGGGGTCTTCTCCTTCTGGGGGCACAGAGAGTGTCCCGGGATCCTTCCAGCTCTAAGGATGCGCTGACCGCCCTCCCAGGGGCAGGCAGACAGCGAGGCAGAATTTTGCAGGACGCCCTCGCATCCCTGAACACGGTCCTACATCCCCACTGACAAAGACATCATCCGTGCAAGTCATTCTAAGAGAGAGTGTAGCCCTCTGGTGCAGAGGGCAAGGCAGGGCAGTGGCTGATGATCGTATGGAACCCTTTCCTGAGCTCTAAGCAGCAATCCTTCTCTCCTACTGGTACTACCGCCAGTCAGCAGGGTGCGTTTTAATTATTATTTTAATTTCATGTTGGCAGAAAGGCACTGTCAGATAGTGCCCTTCAAGGGAAACTCTTGCTTTGGGGGGCTGTTGGAATCTCTGTGTTTTTGGCTCAGTGCTGCTCAGGACCTATGAGGCACACACTGGTTCCCCCAAACTGTACTCCATGCAGTACTTACCTTCCCACGTGAGGGATCCAAGACATGCTGCCCGGGAGTGTCCGCGCCCCTGGAGAAGCCCGAGCCAGCCCTGAGGGGGGGGCTCCATGCTGGCAGAAACCGCTGCTCTGGGGACAGAAAAGAGCTCAGTCTTACCGTCACAGCCCAGCGATACACAGATCCAGTGAAGGAGTTACATAGAAACCTCATGCACACACTTTATCTGACTTTCCCTGAGTATCAACTCTCTACTAGCAAGAATTCCTTGTTGGTAAAAATATTCCTTACGTATTTTGGATAGTGTTTTGTCTTTTTTTTTTTCTTCCTCTCTTGACAACGTTGCATACTTTGCTCAGGGTCACAGCAATAAGGTTCTCTTATTGAACATTCCTCTCTTTATAAGTTGAAATAACAATGCTAAAGGTCTAGGAAGCAACATAATTTGAAGTTTAAAATCCTCTCTGACTTCTGAAATATCATCCTAAATATTTAACTCTGGGCCCTAACTAAAACATTAGTTACAGAAAATCGAACTTTCAAAAAAAACCCCAACCAATCTCCAATCCCCAAACTAACGAATAATGTTTGCATAGATAAGTTTCATGTCTCTAAATAAGTACTATAAATAACAAACGATATGTAATAAGAGCAGAGAGGGGGAAGGCTAGAGAACAGTGATTAGGAGTCCATCAAATCGGGCCATCTCACATCTGGGTTACATTCTTAAAACGTGAATTGTAGCCCCTAGGAAATTATCATCCACAATTGATTGTGTTTGGTCTTTTTCTGTTGTGTTTTTTTTTCTGAAAGTTGCATGTTGCTCATCTGTTTTTATATAAATCTAAAATGTGGTATTTGTCCCATATGTACATGTGGTAAAGTGATCAAGAAAAATATTTTCAGTACTAAACACCCCCTGCCCCATTTTAAAGGAAACCCTGAATGTAGTAAATTCATGCTAATTGGGAACTCTATGAAGGGGTTAAAACATTACCCGTTACAAGTCGGGTGGTCATTAGAAATGTTACCCAAATAAAAGCCAGAAACAGGAAGCCAAAAAGCAGGTCCCTACGGCAGGCATGTGTCTTAAATGATATCATTTGTCAAGTTTCCAGCGTCTTGTGGTGGGGAACGCAAAAAGAAGGTCTGTGTTGTACTGAGGACATTACACCCTCATTAGCCAGAATGTTCCTTAAGTACATAATGCAGGATTTTCATTTTAATAAGCAGCAGCTACTTGTCACTGCACTTTCATTAGATAAATACTGAATGTAATACTAATGACCATTTACAGAGGCTCTATCCTACTCTGGAGAAACTGTATTCAGATGAGATCATATAATAACAATGTATAGAGCATATCAAGCAAAACTTCCATGTCATTTCTTTGTGAACTATTCCCTGAAAAAAAATTTTTTTTTAAATGCTGACCATATTTACTAGCAGGAGTCATCGTCAAAGAGACCCGAAAAGACACTGTTGGCATTTTTTTTTTTTTTTGCATGCAAAACAAATGTGAAGGAATATAGCATTTGCTTTTTTAGAAGTCACAATGGAGTTGCAAGGAATGGCTTCCTCAAAGTCAAACCCCTCCATCTGCCCAGCTGGAGACCTCAAGGCTGAGGTGCAGAGAAGGCCACCCTGAGAACCGAGAAATAACTCATCCCCCAGGATCCCTCAGCCCCAGCCCTGTCTCTAACACAAAGACTGACACTTGCCCTGAATTACGGATGTACGTTCTGTGATATGTAATGCAGTTCAGGAAGGGGTGTGCGCGTGTCGCACCATTTCACCTCCCATTACAGGCTCGTCCTGAATGATAATCCCAGAAGATGAAACTGATACTGAACTACGACCCTCAATTTACAAATCATTTTTCAGAAGAATAAGAAAAAAAAAAGTTTAAACATATTTTTGGCATTATCTGAATGGGCGGAATCCTTCATGCTTGTTTTCTCAGAATAAATGAGAACAGCATGCACTGTAGTTCCTGAGTTTGGGGAAAGTGACCATGAGGTTTTCAGATTATATTTTATTTTAGACTTCGGTGTTTGAAAAAAAAATTTTTTTTTTTTACATCGCTGAATTTCGTCTATTCCTTCAAAACATCATAAATTTCTATTCTGTAGCTTAAGGGATCCATCAGCTGAAATGCTGGTCTTTCATCTTTATTACCCTCCCATTAAAATGAAAGAAACCGGGACGCACTGCAGTTCGAAGCAGCAGCTCAGCTGGCGGGGTCCTTGCTCCTGGAGCCTCCGTGGGGGGAGAGGGGCGGCCCGGTTCAGACCGCGCACATCTATCTGCGTGGGAAGCAACACATACCCCGTGAAATCGCATCACCTCCGTGGACGGCGCGGCTGCATCGCAGTGTCCGCCCGCGGCCGGCCACTTCCTGGGCACTGAGCATTCCCAGAACCTGTCCCCTGCCCCGCGTGTGCGGGCGCTGCTGGAAGCGGGCAGAAAAGTCTCCTTCCTGGGGCCGGAGCTGCTGGGTCGGAAAGGGACAGAGGACCCCCGAGCGCCACGCTGGGCCGCTCCTCTCGCACCCTGCCCCGGCACCCCCTGCCCTAACGAGGACACAAAAAGCCCCGCACCAGGCCGCCCGCCTTCCTCATAACTCACAGACGTCCCAGTGGCGATCGCCCCCAGTGCTATCTGTCTTCAGTGCGGTTGTGACACTGCGGCACGATCCATAATTTGGTGGCTATTTACCGTGACATCTCCCTTCAGCGCAGCCATAACATTCAGTGAAGCCATTATTCGGTCCCATTTACCATATAAATTGTATTGTTGTGCATGCATGCTAGCACTACGTCAGGCACCTGAAAATGAGTAAATCTTGTAAAACAGATACTAACCGCTGTTCAGCGGTGGGATTTCCTCGCCCCTCAAGATGGGAGGAGAGAAAAATTAAATGCGGTCACCAAGTTTCCTGGAGCATCTTTAATTGCGTTCCCATTTATGGAGCAGGTTAGGGACGCTGAAACCCAGGGCTTTGAAAAATAATTGGGTGGGCTCTGCCTCCCACCAGAGAGGCACGGTGGGACTTCGAAGGCGCTGGAAGCCGCAGCCCTGCGAGCTGAAGGTGAGGAGGCGGGCGGGTGGGCTGCCGGCGATTCCCCAGATGGGGCTCGTGACGTGCCTCTCACATGTGACCCCGGGCAGTGGGCAGTGGAGACGAGGAGCCGCTCATTCCCACAGAACGCGTGGGGAAGTAGGATGGGGACACGGGGACAGTGTTCTGTGCCACATGCGCTAGCCTGTTTCCAAGAGCAGAGAGAAAACACACTGTGTCCGAAAGTCTGAAACATGAAGCGAATGTCTTGTTATTCTACATTGCGTCAGGCCCTCCTCTGCACAGCGCGGTCTGCTAGAGCCTGCTTCAGGCAGGGAGGGCTGCTGTTAGTCATGTCTGGCTGTATGCCTAAAGACCGCTGCCCCTTTGTTAGGCAGACCCTCCCCGTGGATGTGGACGCAGCACAACCGCTCCCTTCCCGGGGCAGGTCCGAAGTTTTTAAAGCACCCCCCATCTCTGTAGTACCCCTTCCTAAAGCCTGCTTTTGTCTTACCGGTTTTCAACACTAATTTGCTTCTTAAGGGCAGAGACAAACTTTGGGTTCCACACAGGCCTCACTGGGATAATCGGGCATAAAGCATTAAATAATAGACACTTTGAAAAAAATAGGTCTGTGTTCAAATAGTCATTTTTCTAATGACCTAACAAAATCAAGGTTTTGGGAGAATTCCTCTTAATTATTATTTAGATAGTTGGTAATTTGAAGAAAAGGCAGGGAGGGCCATTTCCTGGGAATATGGACTCTGAAAATATATGGCAGCCTTTCTGTTCTCTCTCTCATTTATTAACTGCTCATTAGCCTAAGACCAAACTTTCCCAAAGTAAAGAATTTGTGGACTATTTTTAAGACTGATTTTAAAATCTCATCAAGCTGAAGACATACTGATTTGATCAGATCTTGCATCAGGAATTAATTTAATTCTCTGGAACAATAAAATCTGGAATGAGACGGTGCAGGACCAAAGAACTGAATATAACGGTTTTACCTCTGAGCCATCAAGAGAAGTTTTTATTAGTATTTTTTTCAAGGGAGGGGCAAAAAAAAAAAGAGACAGAGAGAGAGAGAGAGAGAGAGAGAGAAACGAAATAAAGAGAAACTTATTCATTAACTCCTGACTTTTGTTTAAGAAATATCATACCCATTAGCCATCTACAAATAACTTGATTTGAGTAATTCTGAAGAGTAAAGTGCCCATTTTCTTTCTCCTTGGATTTATGTCATTGTTCTGTTTTTTAGAGCTTACTGTTGACAGAGCGAGGTAATTCAACTACAATTTTTCCAGTGTTTTTTCCCATGTACATATAATCAACAGCCCGGAATACAGACTCCAGGCCAATAAACCTGCCTTCTGCAGACCGATCTCCAAGGTCTACCTCGCAGACCAGGTCTCCAGCCGCGTACATCTTAAGCAAGTGGTCCATGGCTGCTTGATACTTAGAAAGGGAATGGTTCAAGAAGAAGCCGTGGACACTGGCAGATTTCTTCAGCAGTTTGGCCGGTAATGTCCCTGCTTTCACAGGAGAAAGGCCGGTAGGAGTCTGGTAGCCAGAGACGAAGCCAATGACTATCAGACGCCCCTTGACAGCCAAGGCATCCAGGGCCAAGTCGAACATGGCGCCCCCGATGGATTCGTAGACCACATCCACACCTTTGGGGTACTCCTGCTTCAAGACAGTGCTCACAGGCTCGGTCTTATAGTTGATGGGACGATCGCAGCCAATGGATTTCAGAAAAGCGGATTTTTTATCGGAAGAGCAGGTGCCGATTACATGGCACTTGGCCTTCTTTGCAAACTGCACGGCGAACTGGCCTGTCCCCCCAGCTGCCGCTGTCACCAAAACTTTTGCCCCTTCTGACAGCCCTCCAAGCTCATTCAGGCTGATGTATGCAGTGGTAGCACTCACTGGCAGGGAGACATACTCAGGCTGCACGGAGGCCACGGGAGCTGCAGCTCGGGCAGGCACCACTGTGTACTCAGCGAAGGAGCCGGGGGCCATGTAAGCCACCGCTTGGCCAACGGTATAGCTGGCACTGGCTGACAGGCCTAAGGCTACCACCTCTCCCACACCTTCAAAACCTACATCAAAGGGGGTCTTGACTGAAGGGTCCTATCGGCCTGCGGAATAGTTGATGTCAGATGCATTGACACCGACAAATCTAGAAGAAAACAAACAAACAAACAGACAGACACATTAAGATATTCTCCTCATTAAGGCCTTGATACTCCACTTAGAAAAAATTCCTCTGATTCCAGTGACTGTGGACTGGTGGCTAAGCTATCTATCCTAGTAGGATTCCGGAAAAAATAAAAATTAAAAAAAAAAACAGTCCTGATACTCAGTTGAAAATGAGAAATTAAACAAGTATTTGCAGTCTGAGTTTTGGTATATTTGATTTTTTTAAATCAGGGCAGGGGATCGCTCCATAGCCCCTGAAGCCCCAGGTTGTTTATGTCACATGCTATTTACTTCCCTTTCTTTCAAAGGTGAAATACAGCATTAAAAAAAAAATAAAGCCAGGAAGCCCTCTTATATGTAAACTCCACTGGAGCTATGAGTCGGAAATCAATTGGCCTCTTAACAAAGATGTTAAAAAACAACAGTGAGATAGAATATACTCAAAGAAGTGGACTTGCATTGATTCTGGCAACAATTTAACACCAGATAGTAACAGTAATGACAATATTATTGAAGATCGACGCAGTGTGCAAGGTCATTGGCTGTTACGCGTGACTGTGGGGTTGTTTAAAACATGGTTAGAGTGGCCGCAGCAAATTTCCTTTCTGATGTAACTAGGTCCAGCATGAAAATATGCATTTTGATTAATTGAACAAAAATTGTCTCATAAGGGTAGGCAGTTTTATGGAACATTCAACATCTTACAGTTCTTTTCAGATGAAAAGGAAAGCAAATCGTCACTATATTTTTCCTCAACAAGAAGCAGAGACATAACTTGATTAATACCAGATGATTATTTTCACTTTGGTATCCAGAGTCAATTTAATTGCGAGGTCGGTATTTTTACCAGCCCTTTTTCATCTCGGTAAACCTCATAACAAAAAATATCCTGATACCTAAGGAAAAAAAAAAGCTGTCTACTAAAAAATGTCAGGAGGTGGCTTAGACACATAATGGAGGACCCTAAAAATGTCATTTCCACCTGTAACGAAATGAAAAGACGGTGGTATCTGGTGGCACAAGGAAAGCTGGTAAGTTGGGCATTTCAAAATAATTCACTTTTAATTTAACTTAATAAACCAAAACTACCCTGTGCAAGGACCCACTCCCACCATGTTATAGACAACACTTTGCACTTATCAGTGCTCCCTTCTGATGATGCTCTGTATCTGCAATAGTGAAAGGCCCCCCCCCCCCCCCACCGCATACTGTAGAAAGCAGCGAGCAGGAAACAATGTCTCTGGGGCACGTCAAGCTGCTTTCAGAAGTTAGCACACCACGCAGCCTCAAGAACACACTGCAGAATTCCATAGCCATCCATGATAACAAAAAGTGGGAAAAATGATTTTTGCTGCTTTTTCATTTGGGATTTAATACCAAGATGCTCACATTCTGTTCTGGGACCGTCCCCACCACCCCCTCTTTCAATTTACATCATTCTGAAGGTTGGGTCTTTTTAAAAAAAGGGGCCAGCTTCGTCAGTGACTGCCTCTGGACTTCAGAGAAGGCAGCCAGGGCAGAGCCCGGCTGGAGAGTCTCGCCTCCCGCCCGGCTGTAGGCGGTAAAGACCCGGGAGGGGTCCTCGGGATGGAAGCCTCAGCGGTTTGCTCCAGAGGTGGGGGACTGAGGCCCAACCGCCAGCTCCGGTCTCCGGGCCCACAATTAACCCTTCCCGTGCCTTTCTCCCCTCCTGTGTCACTCCTCATTGGAGAGGCCCTCTTCTGCGGGGCACCCCTGCCTTGGGCTCAGGGGGATGCCCCTGCGGGGGCTGGGCCCTGGGGTCCTGCCCACCTCTAAGGACTGCGCCTGGGGGGGACTGCTGGAGGAAAAGGCTCCCCCACCTTCCCTCTGTGGTTTGCCACTTCCCAGAGCGAGGTGGCAAGACCAAGCAGGGCCCACTCGGGAGAAAAGTGGAGGGGAGAGGGCACCAGTGCGGGAGGGGGGGGGGGCGGCCCCGTGGAGGTGGGAGTGGGCGCTGCTGGGAGCTGGGGTGCGTGCAGCTGACCAGCGGCTGCTTAAGTTTACCTCGGCGCGCCCCTTCCAGGTTGCAGACAGCCGAGTCTCCTCTGCAGCACCCAGGGCGCGCCCGGGCCAGCCTGCGGGGCCCAGAAATCCTTCTGGAACTGTCTCCCCTCGGAAGTGCCGGCCTCCGCTGACTGCCCACCCTCCCGTCCCGGCCTTTCCACTGCCACCACTAACTGGCTCGATCAAGGACTGGGACTCCCGGAGCGGGCTGGGTCCGAGCCCAGCCGGCGGGCGCTGGGGAGGAGAGCCTCCACCCAGGCCTGAGACCGTGACCTCGGCCTCCCTGAGCCCGGCGGGGGTCAGGTGGGCAAGCATAGTCAGCACAGGCCGCGGAGCTTGGACCCGGGGGCAGTCAAGCTCTTGGTTGGGGGCGGGGAGGTGTTTCAAGCACAGGGCACGCTGGAGCGCCCCGGCCCCAGCACTGGGGTCTGGGCAGCCGGACCGTGACCTTGGCCTCCCGTGCAACCCCGTTTTTCGTGTCTCCCTCCCCCTTCCCCCGTCCTGCCGCCTTCTAAACTGCCTGCCTTCGTCGGTGAAGGAGTCTCGGGCTGGTGGCTACAGCCCTCCGCTCCCCTGCTCCGCGCGCCTCGCCCACTCCCTGGTGGGTCTCTCGGCCCCGCGCGGCCCCCGCCTCCCCAGGACCCCTGGACCCCCGCTCTGACGCCCTGCGGCCGCTGCAGCAGGTGGGGATCCGCCACTGCCCGCAAGCGCCTTGATCCTTACCTGGGGCTGCGTGATGGTCGGGAGCCCGAGCCTTCCGCTCCTCCAGAAACAAGTTCAAGAGCGGCGGGCGCAGTGGGAAAGGGGGCCCGGGTCGGGGAGCAGGGGACAGGAAGGGGAAGCGAGCAAGAAAAAGAAAGGAAAAACAGGCTTGGTAGAATGCCTGCATTTCGAGACTCTCCTTGTACCCTCTTTAATGTAAAATATATGCTCTTAGTAAGTGCAAGGTTCTAGCCGTCAGACGGGAGGATCCTAAAATCGAGGAACCCCAGGAAAAAGAATGGGACTGGGGTGGGTTTCCCCAAATATATACGCTTGGAGAGATGCCCGGTTTATTTATATTAAAGAGTGCTGAACCCCTTCGTCGTGCTTATGATGAAACGGGCAGTCCTGCAGAAGGAGGGAAACGCTTTCTTTGAACAAAAACAAACGTGAAGTCCGGAGCCTTCAATATTGGGAGACAAACAAAGTCGCCCAGATCAGATTTTCTTAAAAAGAAAGAAAGAAAGGAGGAAGGAAAGAGAAGAAAGAAGAGAAAAGAAAAGAAAAGAAAAAAAAATTGAAGAAAAGGAAGAAAAATAAATAAAAGAAAATCTTGGCCTGAGGAGTCAGCAGAAATGCTGTTACCCTCCCGTGAGCAGCAAACCGTTTATCAAAAACGCCTTCCCCATCCCCCACCCCACTCTTTGCCATTCCTATAAACTCTTTGCTCCATTATCTTACACTTGACCAGAAAATCGTTAGAAATATTTGGAAACGAAATCATGTGTCACTATCCTTCAAAAAAAGCTAAAAATCGCACGCAAGCTGACTTAACCGGAGGGTGCCTTTCTTCCTTCTCTTCTTGAGGGCTGGGCATTGGGAGGGAATGTGAAGTTGTCCTTGGATGTATGAAAGTGAGAAGTGGATAAAGGAACATCAATTACGTGTTCTGCAGGGCTTTTAAGGACCCCTCTCACAGTTTTCCTAAATGGAATAAACTTCATTATCCTAAATCCACGACTGGCTTAAAAGCATGTCCCTCTCCATGAATACAGAATTTCTATTTTCTGTTAAGATGGGATGAGATGTGCAAATATTCAACTGAAAGGAAAAGTCAGGCAGCACACAGTTAAAATCTCCAAACACCCTTCCGAACAAGTGAATGTATGCCTATGTCATTCATTTTAGAGCAGATTTTTATTATGATAAAAATGAAAAGCGCTTGCATGAAATTTTTGCACAATTAACACTGTTGAGGAGATTTGGTCTGGGATTAGAATGAACTAACCTGCAGCCAACAGACTTGCTGTCTGCTCTTAAAAAAAAAAAAAATCTGTACAATCCCAACTCCCCGGACACTATTTGCGGAGTGTAAAGGATCTCCTTCCAATTTGGGGATAGAAGCAGATTTTCCACAGAGTAGGGAAAGGGGATACAAAGATTTCACCTCCTCTCAACATGCAGAAAACTGGCTCCATTCTCCTTCTGACACGGGCTTCACCGTAGAAGTTAGAGGTCAAGTTGTACATATAAATATACTACTTGTGTTAAAGGACTCTCGGCATATGTGGGGGAAAAGACAGGCATGGATTCTAAAGCAAACCAAGCTGAGAAGCTCCAACTGTGGGGGAGCTGGCGATCCAGAATCCTGACCACCCAATTCAGGGACCATCCCCATGACCTGGCGCAGGGGGCACCGGGGCACTGGCGGGGAAGGAGAAGGCGAGAGGGGACGGTGAGGGAGCAGGGAGAGGAGCCAGAGGAGGGGACAATCCGAGGACCTGATGTACTTTCACAGGTAGAGAAGCCATCTACCCGGTGCTGCCCAGCGGGAGCAGCTCCTCAGACAGCGCTGGCGGGTGGTCCCACTCCGCGGCAGCTGGTCCTCCTTTAACTTCACACCTTCTTCTGCCAGCTCCGCTCAGTCGGCCCCCCCTCCACACACACACCCGGTATCTGAAGGGGATTTTATTTAAGCAGTGCTGTGTGTTTTTACATCAGTGCTCACAGTCAGTAGTGTACGTGGTCAGAAAAATTACGAGAAAAGAAAACAGCCCGTGTCAAACTTTTTGCTTGTTAAAGGCTGAGCTTTTCAGCCTGCTTCTCATCTCAACTTCCAGCAAATCACTCATGTGTCTTGTGTGTTCTGCGTGTGTTCCTTCTTTTTAACTTGGTAGGAAGCAAGTCCTTATCTCAACAGCTTTAGCGCTTAATCCCATAATGAAGCAATCCTTTGCAGCCCTGTTTCAACCCACGAAAACTTTTAGGACACACACATGTACCTTTAAGGCACTCTGCACCCCACCCTGGCCAGGTTCCACTCAGTCCCACTCTTGGCTCCCTCAATTTTTACGTTTCCAACAGGTTTCCAGAAGTTTTCCATCAGGACCAGAATTATTCAATTTTGCAGCCTTTGGAAGGCTGATCCGAATCTCTAAAATAAGCGGATTAAAGGCTGCATCAAGCCACTCGGGTAGGGTACACTTTGCCTTTCACGCCTTGCAGGAGTCTTACAGTACTTTCCGAGAAACAATTTACAACATAGTCACACTCACAACTCACTCCTTCCTTCCCTCGCAGGAAACATACAACACTGTAACCCCTCGCTCGCGCCAGAGCAGGCGGGCGAGTCCTGCTCTAACGTAGGGGATCGAGGAATGGCGAACGCCCTGGCTGCAAGTCAGCAGCTAGGGGACCGAGCGAACAGAGAGCAGAGGGCATGGCTCCTACAGAGTGAGGTCCCTTTCCTTTCCGCGCTTCACCAGTTACTAAAGGTGAGAGAGCTGTAGACACAGTCAGGTAGGGAGTGTGGAGGTGGAAGAGGCGATCAGAAGGTAGGGAAACCCACCGGAGTACCACCCAGAGGTCTGCAAAACGCGCAGGCAAACGCAGCGGTGCCCCCACCCCGGCCCTGACCCAGCCGCCCCGGACGCGCCACGAGCCTGTCGGTAGGCTCTGAGGCACAGACAACAGCCATACAGCACTGACAACACGCAGACGACACCGGCGAGGTGCACACCAACGCACCCAACGACAGGGCTCCGCCATTGCGAGGCGGCTGCCAACCTGGAGCGCACAGGAAAAGCCAGCCGGGTCCTCGGCCTCCTTCCCCCAAAGCACGTTACCTAAACGTCGCAGTTTGTGCCCAGCCCGTTCCCGGTCCACACTAAAGATTATGGGAACGCAGGAGCCGTGGGTGCGCGCGGGTGGGCCCGGCGGGGAGCCTCCCCTTCTGGGTCCCGTCGGTTTTATTTCGGGAGCGGGAGGGGGAGGAGGGAGGGTTGGGGGAGGGGAGGGGAATCCCAAATTAAAATAACCCTCAGTTATGAGGACGTTCGGTGGCATCGGGTATTCACACCAGCAACAGTCACATTACGTTCGCCTTCGCCAGATGGCGGCGGGTTCAACTTCCCGGGATCTCGCAAAGTCAGGCTGTGCGCCCGAGCACTCGCCGGAGTGCGGGGACGCAGGCGGGCCCGGGACAGCCGGGAAGCGGCGCAGAGCGGGCCGGGGCCCCGCCGGGGCGGGGGGCGCGCGCCGGGCTCACCGGTTCCGGACGAGGAGGTCTCCGTCCCCGGGGAGAGGCACCGGGCAGTCCCGGAGCAGGGTGACGGCCTCGCGGAAGTTGGGGCTCAGCCGGGTCACCACCAGCTTCTGCATGGCGCGGGGGATGTTGGAGCCCTGGAAGTCCAGGAAGTGGCGAGCGTACGACATGTCCACGATGGCTCTGGCCCCGGCGGACGCCAGCCGCAACATGGCCCACGCCTCTGCCCGCTTTCTGCGCCGCCGCGGGCCGGGGTCGCGCCCAGCCCGGGCCGCTCGACTCGGCTTGGCTCGGAGCGGGCGGGCGGAGCAGGCGGGTCCGCCCCTCCTCCGGCCCGCGTGCTCCCCTCGACTCCCCCCCCCCCCCCCCAAGGGCCGGCGCCCCCCCCCCCCCCCCCCCCCCTTCCCCACAAGGACTGGCTCCCGCTCCACCCCCCCTCCCCGCCGCGCGCAGCGCCCGCAGTCCGCACAGCCCCCGTGGTCCCCGGACGCGCCACCCCCGGGGTCCCGGCCTGGGGATCGCTGCCACCCCGGCCGCTGCTCCTTTAATCTTTTTGTTTTGGTTTGAATCTGCTCGGCGCAGACTGGCCGCGGATCCTCTCCGCCCTCCCCCTTTCTCCCTGCGTCCGGGAGGCACCGGATATCCCCACCCTCCCCGCGCTCTAAAAGCCGGATTTGACTCCTCCAAAAGGGTGAGGGGGGCGACGAGGGGAGCCGCGCGTCCCGCTATCGCCGCGGCCCCGAGCCGGCGGCAGCCCGGGGCGTCCTCGGAGCGGCGCGTCTCCCGGCGGCCGGCGCAGGCACCTCCCCTTCCCGTGCGAAGCGTTCACTTCCTTGCAAGGTGGTACGAATCAACCCCGAGCGCGGCCGGGGCGGCAGGGCACGGCAGGGGGCCCCCGAGCCGCGCGGGGAGCCCCCGCCACCAGTGCACGCGCACAAGGACCAAACGCGGGGCGGGGGCGCCCAGAGCCCCGGACTCCTGGCTCCCTATTCCCGGAACGCCTCGCCTGCGCCGTCTGCCCTAAGCCTGTCTGTCCCAAGCAAGTTGCACGAACTAAGCCATTTTATTTATTTTGGCCTAGATTTCGTGTTTTTTTCCACGAATGTTTTAAGTAGCCTCTACAAGACTGTTACAGGTTTCCCACTGGGGAAGAACACATATATTGGAGACTCGAGGGCCAAATTCTCTGATCATATAAGCATTTAAACTTCTGGGTGGGGGTGCCGAAGGACATCACTGAATTGGAGACATTGCAATTATGTATGAAGACCTTATTTCATAACCCAGCTGGAAAGATCTGCCGTTCCTTTCTGTCAGTTTCCTCCCTAATTCTCTATATTGACCAAGTAAATTCACTTTTCATAGAAGGGCCAAATTAAATATTTTCCACATTTTTGTATGATGAGATGAGCCCATTCTAAAATTTGTATTAAAGGTATACATTTTAATTTAAAAAACCCTCTTGTGTTACACTTACCTAGACTCACCAAAATAAAAAAGCCACACAGTGCCCCTCCCCAACCAAGCCTAACCCCCAAACCAAGACTGCAAAAGTGACACAGATATTTTTATTTCAAATGTCCCGACGTTCTCATCCAAGGGTAGTCTGTGTCCACGTGGCTCCGTGTGTATGAACATTCGGTGGCGGGGGGGGGGGGGGGGGGGTGGACTTATAGGTTTAAAAATCTGCAGGAACTAATGTCTACTTAACTTGGCTTACAACACATGGGTTTCACCCGGTATCAGCCAGTGGATTCCAATAACAACCCCCTCAATGTCTTTCTCCAATGTGCAATCTTTTATGTTATGCTGTATTAAGATTTCTTTTTTTGTGTCACACTGTTTAGCTCCGGAAAGAAAAAAAAAAGAAAACAAAGCAATTAAAAAGATTGACAGGTATGGTCTGTGAGAGACCTATTTGTAATTGTCAGGGTGACGTTGGCGAGAGGAGGAGGAGTAAAAACTGAAGCAGGAAAAGCAGCTCGATGTGTCTGTCTATCAGTTGAGACTGTCTGAAAGCTCTGCGATCCGAATGTGTGTTATATTTCACTGAAAAGAGAAGAGAGCGAGAGTGCATCTCCCTCTCTCCCAGGAGTTTGGGGGGGACAGTCCACGCTCATCTCGCCCACCCAGTGAATGTCCGCTCTTCGCCCTTCCGCACACACTCTCCGGGTTGTTGTTGGCTTTTTTTTTTTTTTTTTTTTTGGAGGGGGGTGCTTTTTGTGTATTTTTCAAATTTTTTCTGTTGGAAGATCAAGACCGGCCAAAAATCCATGATCAAAATGTGTTTGCATTAGATTTCGCAAAGGAAGAGACGGCGATCCTGGCGGCAAAGCCCCGCGGGGAGCGCGGGGCAGCAAGTGGCGCTCCGGCGGGGTGACACTGTTTGATGTGTGACTGTTTGGAAGGTGGAGCAGCGCCTGACATCTCCCCCCGGCGCATGTATGTACGGGGGCTTCACTCCTCTGTCTTGTTTGCTTTCTTCCTCTTAGACTAAGTGCGGGAGGAAAAGGACAGCCAGGATCGGCCTCGCTGGCGCACAATGAGAAAGCTGAGACCCGCGTACTAAAACCGCTCGCCGCGACCCCTGAGCAGCGAGGAGCGAGGGGGAGAGAAAGTTGCGCTCGGAGACTCTCGGCTCGCGGAGGAAGGCGCAGGGGAGCGCCCGGAGCGGCGCCCGAGGAGCGCCCGCCACAGCAGCGCGGCGGCGGGAGGCGGCAGCATGGAGCGCGGGCCGCGGGCCGGCCCTCCGAGCGCCCGCCGCTGCGCCCGCGGCCCGCGCCGGGGATGGACTCCGGGCTCGGCGCCCAGGCCCCGCGCGCTCCGCCCGCAGCCCGGCGGCCGGGACGCGGCCCGCGCGGCCGCCGCCGCCGCCTCCTGAGCGGCCCCGGGCGCGGCCGTCCATGCGAGCGGCGCCCCGCGATCCGCGGCGCGCCCGGAGCCCGGAGCCCGCGGGGACGAGGCCAAAGTTGGGCGCGCCGCGGAGTTGCGCCCGCGCCCGGGGCCCCGGACCCCGCGCCCCGCGAACTCGGGCGGCGGCTGAGGCGACGGCTGCGGCGGCCCGAGCAGCATGCCGAGGAGGAAGCAGCAGGCCCCCCGGCGCTCGGCAG